ACCGACTCCATGGCATATAACAAACAACAACAACATAATGCTTAGTACACAGCCGAGTTTCTGAGTGAATGAATGAGTGAATCAGTCAAAAGCAAGTGAGTGGTCATAGATCTGGTTTGATGCTCCATGCAGAAGTGGACTCTTACCAACCCATGGTAAAGGAAAAACAAAACAAAACACTCACTCCAGGTACATTTAAATAATTTTATTTTCTTAGAAAAATCATCCCAGTAGCCTCTACCCCACTCCCACGTCACTGCAACCCTGGGTGAATGAGATTTTACATGCCCCCTGACAGGCCCCAAATGACCTTTGTAATGCCGCATTGTGCTTCCCAAGAACCCTAAGAAAACCCCATGTAGAAAAATACTTTACAAGGAATATGCGCTAATCTCAGCTAGAGAAAAATACAGCTTTGGGGTGTGGGGGCATGTCACAGGGGCTGTACCCAAAATGCATAGGCAGGCAGGAGGCTCACAGGGCTGGGGGGACATTTGGGAGGGTCAAGTCTGGGGTGGACAGTCTCCATGAGAAGCCAGAGGAATATTGCATATGAGAAGACCTGGCAGTGGAGAGGAGGCCCACCATAGGCCTGGCTGTGTACATCTGGGAGGGTGACAGAGACCTGGAGTTCTAGGAGGGAGGAGCATTGGTTAGAATCAGGATGCATCTCTCACCTGGAGTGCTAAGTCCAGCCCTTCTGCTTCACAGGGACCCCGAGATGCTGGACCACTTGCTGAAGATCACACAGAGGCACCTTAGAAGAAAGGTCTGATGATTTACTTCCCAAAATCAGGCATTGGAACTGTATGGACACAGTTCTGTTCTGACACGCACGGGGTCACCATGAGTCAGGGTCCACTGCACAGAAGCTGGTTTTAATGACTGCCTTAGATGTTCTGTCTCTTGTGTCTATCTTTGTGCGCGTCCCCCTCTATCCCCTCCATCACTGACGTTGATGTTGAAGAGGCACTATATGATCACTGGATCATACATGTAGCACAGTTCCATGGTTTTTGATCTTCATTAAGAGGGCAGGTAAGTGTCTCTTGGTCACAAAGTCACCCTCTCCCACATTGAGGGGCTGGGACTCAGAGGCATGTGAGTGGATGGACAGAGACCCCGGGCCTTACAAATAGAGGCAGGAGGTGCCGGTAGTTGCACCCTGAGCTGCCCAGTGACCTCAGAACTGCAGTCTCAGGATCACAGATGCTTTGGGCTAGAAACACTGGATTGACAGAGTCTCTAACTTTCTGAGACCAAGGACCTGTGCTTCCCGGGATCATGAGTGGGAATGCAATTCCAAGCACCAGCATTCTGGAGCTTGGAAAGGTCTGAGCTTCCCCCAGAACAGCATCCTTCCTGTGGCACTGTCCAGAATGTGGGCCCCAACCTCATTTTGAATGCTCCTGTTGTTGAGAAACTCACCACCTGCCCAGTGTGCTGCATCCATGGGGAGGTCTCCCTAGGATGTCCACGTCTGCCTCAGGTCCCATGTGCTCACTTCCTAGGGGACCCTCCCTGGAAGCTCACTGTAGTCCCATGGCTTTGGCTGGGAGAAAGCACTCCCTACATGGGGCGTTTCCCTGCCTATGACCCTGCCAAGAAAGTCCAGCAGGGACTAACTACTGCAAAGCAGCCATCCTCAACCCTCTGCCCCACACAGCCAGAGCTCTTCTGGGCACTTTGGACACCCAGTTTGGCAAAAGATCCAGATGTCACTCCAGGTGGAGCATCGAGACACCAGCCTGGCACCTGATCCTCATAGAACCAGGGAAGAGAAACAGTCCCATCCTAGGCACTGAGCCTGCTGGGCACATAGATGCATGAGTTCCAGCTGGATTACAGGTCTGGGAGCCAGGATCCCCGGCTGGGGGTTCAGACCACAAGCTGACTTCAGAGCATTCTGGGACTGCGGGGGCCCGGTGAGTATGGGACTCGATTGGTCTGGCCCAGCGGGTTTCGGCTGACCACCAGCTCCAGGACGTCGCCTGCCTCAGCCAGGAGCGGCACCGCCAAGCAGCAGTCGAAGTCCCGTGTTCGGACATGGTTGACCTGCAGTGGGCAAAGACCAGAGACAGAACCAGGTCAGCTAAAGTTGGGGTGGGAGATGGTGGTGTTTTTTAAAATGCCAGCCCCATCGCTACCTAGACCCAAGGACGTATCACAACACACACCTATGGAGGTGTTCAGTTTTCACTTCAAGCTCTTTCAATCTTCATCACAGAGGAAGTCCTAGGTTGCCGCAAATGTACTCTTTACACCTGGCAAGCACTCGCTTCTCTTTCTTTGTAACTCGAAAGAGCCGACAACACACAGAAAGGCATCTGGCTAGAATACAGTGCTGCTACTGACATGTTTGCATGTACGCGGGAAAGTTCCATTGTCTTGTAATTCCATTTTTTCAATGAACTTTTTGAGCCCCCTCATATGTGTATTTTACATAGATCTTTTATTTTAAGAAAGGAGTGCAGGATTTTGCTGCTTATAAAAACTCACATACTTAAGTTTTAAAACTCTTGTCAACAGAGCAAACATGCATTAAGTGAGTGTGGATGGTACAAAGGGTTAATGTGCTCAGTGCTAACTCAAAGGCTGGAGGGTCGAGTTGACCCAAGGAAGCCTAGAAGAAAGCTCTGATCATCTATTTCCCAAAACTACGCCACTAAAAACCCTATGGAGTAATTCTACTTTGACCCACTGAGGTCACCACAAGTTGTTTTTGCTTGCTTATTTCTAATACAAATGTGGCAGCAGAGGAGAGTAGAGGAGCAGCTAGGAGGAACAGTGTGGTTGGTGTCTTTCTACCTGCTCACCCATGTCTCCTAGGCCTCTAGCACTTAGGCAAATCACGTTACACTCTGGCCTTTTGGCTGGGAAGGGTAGTCATCATGTTGCTTAAGACAGAAGGCAGGGAACCCCAGGTATGATTTTCCAGTCTTTCCCACTGGAAAGAGACTGAGGAAGCCGTGGGTTTTAGAGGGACAATTGCAAGGTGGTGGTTCCCCTTGCTGAGGAGCAAGGCTCATAGCACCCCACAATGAATCCATGTTGTACACCAACATGGGAAGTTGCTGAACTTTGGGGGTTGTTACTGCAACATAATTTAGCCTGACCTGACCAATACAACTCCTTTGATCGTTCTCTGATTAGAGGCGAGGACGCTGAGCGCAGGGAGGGGGCGTGATCTTCCAGACCACCCCGCTGTTTCCCCTACCTTAGGGAGAGAAATCGCAGCCTATTATTGGATACATGCACCAAAGATGGCCTCTATGAACCAAATTGTTTACTTCCTAGCAAACTGAGACCCAAAAAGCCAGCTGGTGCCAAACTCAGATATGTATATATTCAATTGTTTGTTTGTTTCTTAAATAGCCCCAAATAAGCAGACTTTTAGCCTCTTGGAGAAAGCAGAGTCTGTCCGCTTTACAGACCCACCTCACCACCTACAGACACAGACGCTTTCCCTCCACCCCTTTCTCCTCCTCCGTTGAAGAAATGGTGGTTCAAACCCAACCAGAGCCACAACAAAAGACAGGACTGAAGATCAAGTCCCAACAGGCTCTGTACACATGGCGTCACTGTGGTTGGCAATGACCCAGTGGCACCTGGTTTGGTTTGGGTCCTCCTTCTGGTGACTCCACTTGCCTCTTGCAGACCTTCTACTGTGGGGAATAGACCCCCATATGTGTGCCAGACCCCTGACAATATACATTGTTGTGCAACCCTGCTATCTTAGAGTCATATATTTCTACTTCCTTAATCCTGAACTCCCTTGAGCTCTCTGTGGCCCAGCCCATCTGTGGTGCCCTGCCCAGCATCACCTGGAGGATTCTGTCGAAGGGCCGGAGGCTCCCGCGCTGGGCTGGCCCATCAGGTCGTACCGTGTGGACATAGACACCTTTCTCCAGTAAACCATCTGAGACGCTGAACCCAAAGTCATTCCGCATGGGGTCCTTGTACAGGGTCACCTGGGAGCATGAGAACAGAGGACGCCCCTGGAACTCTGACCTGAACTCCATGCTTCATGGCAACCCAGATCACTTGGTTTGGCACGCAGTGCCTCAGGGACCCAGACCCTGGCCCACTGGAGAAACTGAAGCCTGCACACTCTTTGTCTCTTCCCCACTGCAGAAAATCCTTCAGTTCATAGCATTCCCTAAATTCATGGAATCCCTTAGGAAATATTTTCTTCCCAATTCTTGTTTTCATCAAGGAGAATGTCTTGTAAGGTACTTGTGTGTTTTTAGCACCCTCATCCTGGTGTGGTGCTGTGGGTTAATGCACTGGATTGCAAAGTTAGTCTGAACCATGAGGTTGGTGCTTCAAGCTTATCAGTTACTCCTTGGAAATCCTATACAGGGTTGCTATGGGTCAGAACCAACTTGATGGCACTTAACAACAGTAACACTGTGCAAAGACCTGAAGTTAGAAAACAAAATGGGAAGAACACGCTCAGCATTTCTCAAACTAAAAGAACTGAAGAAAACATTAAAGCCTTGACTTGAAGTATTGAAGGATTCTATGAGCAAGATACTGAATGATGTAGAAAGAAAGGAGTATACAGAGTCACCGTACCAAAAAGAATCAGTCTGTGCTCAACCGTTTAAAAAGGTAGCACATGATCAAGACCAAATGCAATGAAGGAAGACACCCAAGCTTTACAGAAGGCAGTGGCAAAAAACAAGACTCCAGGATAGCCAAACTTTGTCTCTCATACTTTGGACATATTGTCAGGAGGGACGATTCGCTGGAGAAGGATATCATGTTTGGTAAGGTGGAGGGTCAGAGAAAAAGAGGAAGACCCCCAATGAGATGACTTGGCAAAGTGGCAGCATCTATAGGCTCAAGTGTGGCAACAATTGTGAGGTTGGCCCAGGACCAGGCAGTGTTTTGTTCTGTTGTGCATAAGGTCACAACGTGTCGGTACCAACTCAATGGCACTTAACAACAACAACAAAGCTTGATGGAATACAAATGGAAATTTTTACACAAACCCATGGCAGCCCTGGAGGTAACACTCACTGGTCTATCCAAGAAATTCAGAAGACAGCCACCTGGTCAATTGACTGAAAGAGACCCATCCATATTTGTGCCCATTCCAAAGAGAGATTGACTCAACAGAATGCAGACATCATCAAACAATATCATTAATATCACATGCAAGCAAACTTTTACTGAAGATAATTCAAAAACAGCTGCAACAGTACATCGACAGGAAGCTGCCAGAAATTAAAGCCGGATTCAGAAGAGGGTGTGGAACAAAAGATGTCATTGTTAATGTCAGGTGGATCTTGGCAGAAAGTAAGCAATCCTCAAAAGATGTTTACTTGTGTTTTATTGACTGCACAGGCTTTTGATTGCGTGGATCATGACAAACTATGGATAACATTGCGAAGAACGGAAATTCCAGAACACTTCATTGTGCTCATGTGGAACTTGTATACAGACCAAGAGGCAGTCGTTAGAACAGAACACGAATGTAAATGGCTTTAAATCAGGGAAGGTGTGTGTCAGAGTTGTGTCCTTTCACTATATTTTTTCAATCTGTATTCACAAGCAAACAATCCAAGAAACTGGATTATATGAAGAAGAATGTGGCATCCATCATCAACAACCGAGAATCAGATGATAAAACCTTGCTTGCTGGAAGTGAAGCAGACTTAAAATACTTGATCATGAAGATAAAAGACCACAGCCTTTAGTGTGGGTTGTACCTCAATGTAAAGAAAACAAAAATCTTCACAACTGAGCCCAAAAGTAGCATCATGATAAATGGAGAAAAGATTGAAGTTGTCAAACACTTCATTCTTCTGGGATTCACAATCAACACTCATGGTAGCAGTAGTAAAAAAGTCAAATGATGTATTGCATTAGGCAAATCTGCTCCACAAAAGTTCTTTATAAAGTCTTAAAGAACAAAGATATCCATTTGAGGACTACGATGCCCCTGACCCAACTCATGGTATTTTCAATCCCTCATATGCATGTGAGAGTTGGACAGTGAGTAAGGAAGACCAGAGAGGAATAGATGCATTTGAGTTATGGTGTTGGAGAAGAATAAAAGTGCCGTGGACTTCCAAAAGAACTTTTTCCATCTTGGAAAAAGTATTGGCAGAATGATTTTAGATGCCAGGATGGCTAGACTTTGCCTCTCATGCTTTGGACATGTTATCAGAACGGACCAGCCTGTGGAGAAGGACATGCTTGGTAAAGTGGAGGGTCAGTGAAGAAAAGGAAGTCCCTTAAAGAGATGGATTGACACAGTGGCAAAAACAATGGGCTGAGACTTAACAATAATTGTGAGGCTGGCCAGGTAGTGTTTCATTCTGTTGTGCGTAGGGTTGCTATGAGTCAGAACTGACTCTATGACACCTAACAACAGCAACACTTGCTCAGCTCCCATCTCAACAAAGAAGCTTCTTATGACTATTAACTTGAGCTAGAATTAGAGTTTATTTCCCCTATGTGTTCTGTTTTTCTTCATAGTAACTTATGGATGGCAAGAGAAACTGTCTTCTCATTTACGGCAGCAATGCAAAGTGTTTTGTGTTGTTCTTGTTGTTTTTTAACATATATACAATAACTTAAGTGAGAAAATAGTAAGTCTACTTAAAGAATAACATGAAGCCCAGTTTGTGTGTCTGCATCTACGCACATACAAACTGGGCTTGTATGTCTGATTGTATGTGTGAACGTAAAAGTGTGAGTGCATATGTGTGTTTGATGCATGTATACATGTGTGTGATGCATGTGTATGTGTGTATGGATGTGTGATGGCGTGCGTGATGCACGTATACGTGTGTATGGATAGGTGCAGCCTAAGGAGTGTTGGTGGTGCAATGGTTAAGCATTCAGCTGCTAATCAAAAGTTCGATGATTTGAACCCAGTGACTCGGAGAGAGAAAGTTCTGGGGATTTGCTCCCATAAAGACTACAGCTTAGGAAACCCTATGGGGAGTTCTATTCTGTCATGCAGAGTCCCTGTGAGCTGGAATCCACTCAGCTGCACACAGCAGCAATAATGCATACATGTATATATGGATGTGTACGTGTGTGTTTGTGTGTGTGCCTATAGCATCCAAATTATGGGAACTTACAAAAACTAGTACAAAACCCTTGTTTTATGGTTGCTGTTAAGTGCCATCGAGCTGGTTTCAACTCACAGCCATCCTGTATAGGGTTTTCAAGGAGCGGTTTGTGAGTTTGTGGTTCTCAGTCCAGTGCTATCCTGTAGCACCACCCCAAGAGCCCCAAGCCTGGATATGTGCAGAGACCCGTCTGAGAACACATGGCAAGTCCTGAGAGCGCCAAGTCCCTGCCCCGGCACCCACCTTGTGCATCTCCAAAGGTGTCGGCAGCAACAGCTCCTGCATCGATTCAGGGGGAGGGTGGTCTTCCCAGTTCCTGTGCCAGAGCCCGGGGCCAGGCCTGTTCTGGAGGGCCACACTCTGCACAGCGCCTGTCATGAAGGATGCCTGTGGGTGACAAGTACAACAAATGGAGCTCTTCACACACTTACTCATTCAGGCATTCGGCATTGGTGACCGACTACTAGGTGACAACTGTCAAAGTACCTGATGAACAACACAGACACAGTCCCTACCCACACATGGCTCCCCGTGCAATGGTGGAGAGGGGTCGTTAATCAGCCACACAAACAATAGGGAAAACAACCGTCCACAATCATACCACACTCTGCGCTGGGCGCCATTCCACACATTTGACACATAGTTTACTTCTACAATACTGTGGGAAAGGTTAACACAATGATTTCCTCCATTTTACAGATGAAGAAACTGAGGCTCAGCGAGACTAAGATTGGAGCCCAGAAGCTGGCTATAAATCAAGGCTCTGTGAGAATGTTTACCACAAAACCCACTGAGATAAAATCAAATAGTGCAGTCAATAATGCACGGAGATGAGGGACATAGAAGGTTGAACAGACAGGCCCAGTGTAGTCTGAGAGCTGAGAAGTGAAATATGCTTTAGAAGGAGAGGAGGATAGAGTCCCAGGCAGACGGAACAGCATGTGCAAAGGCCGGGTGGCTGGAGGGAGTGTGGTGTGGGATGAGGCTGGGGAAGAACAAGGATGTGATCCACAGAGAGAAATGTTAACTTGATCTTTACAGCAACAGGAAGACACTGGAGGATGAGAGCAGAGGTGGCAGAAGGTGACAAGATCAGATGGGTGGATTTAAAAGCATCTTTGGTCTTCTGGGTGGAGATTCATTGTAAAGCATGAGGATGGAAGCCCACAGAGAGATCCAATAGGGACCACTATGGTTGTCCTAGCTAAAGACGATCATGGCTTGAAAAAGGGTATCCCACAAAAATATGTGTTGAAGTCCTAATTCCTATGCATACACATGTGATCCCACATGGAAATAGATGATTATTCATGATGCTAATGAATCCATGTCAGCTTAGGGTGTCTCTTAAACCTAATCAATTTGAGATATTAAAAACAAAAAACAAATTAGGCACAGAAATAAGCAAGCACCAAAAGGGAAAACTAGATATCACATGGAGGATCACAAGGGCCTGAGGACCCCCAAGAAGAATGCTAGCAAAGCTGAGACAAGAATTTCCCCCTGAGCAGATGGAAAGAGCCTTATCCTAGAGCTAGTGCCCTGGGTTAGGACTTCCAGTCTCCTATCCCACATGCTGTCAGCTTGTCATACTGTAGTGGATTGTGTGTTGCTGTGACGCTGGAAGCTATGCCCCTGGTGTTTCGAACACCAGCAAGGTCACCCATGGTGCCCAGGTTTCAGCCGAGTTTCCAGACAAAGTACAGACTAGGAAGAAAAAACAGACAGTCTGTTTATGAGGGAATTAGCCCTGAAAACCTATGAATAACAGTGAAACATTACAGTGCCCATCAGGTTGGAAGGCACTCAAACTGCAATGGAGGAGAGCTTCCACCTCAAAGTAGAGTCTAGTTTGATGACATCGATGAAGTGAATCTGTCAGGACCTTAATTTGCCAGTGAGGCATGACTCAAAATGAGAAGAAACAGCTGCAAACATCCACTGATAATCAAAACATGCAAGGTCCACAGTATGAATCTAGGAAGTTGTTAAAATTGGAATGGAAAGCATAAAGACTGATGTCCAAGGCATTGGTGAGCCTAAATAAACTAGTATTGGCCGTTTTCAACCAGACAATCATAGGTTTACTATGCCGACAATGACAAATGGAAGAGAAATGGCATGGTATTTATCATCAAAAAGAACATTTCGAGGTGTATGCTGAACTACAATGCTATCTGTGATAGGATAACATCTATATGCCTGGAAGGAAAACCATTTAATACCACTATTATTCAAATTAAGAAGCTCTGGTAGTGTAGTAGTTATGAATCAGGCTTCTATCCTCAGGGTCAGCAGTTCAAAACTACCACCTGTTACGCTGGAGAAAGATGAGGCTTTCTGCTCCCGTAAAGATTTACATACAGCCTCGAAAATCCTGTACAAGGTCGCTATGAGTCGGAACTGACTCCACGGCACATAACAACAACAACTTTATTCAAATTACACACCAACCATCAAACCCAGTGATGAAGAAATTGAAGAATTCTACTGACTTCTTCCGTCTGAAATTGATTAAACATGTAATCAAGATGAATTGACAATTTTTGGGTGATTGGAATGCAAAAGTTGGAAAAAAGAGGAAGGATCATAGTTGGAAAATAGGGCCTTGAAATGATCCTAGAGATTGCATGGTAGAATTTTGAAATACCAATGGCTTATTCATTGCAAATACATTTTAAAACAACAAAAAAGATGACAATAGAGTCACATGGATCTCACCAGATAGAATACACAGAAATTTAATTGACCACATCTGTGGGAAGAGATCATGGAAAAGCTCAATATCATCAGTCAAAACAAGGCCAGGAGTAGACTGTGGAACAGATCATCAATTACTCATACGCAAGTGCAGGCTGAAGTTGAAGAAAATTAGAACAAGACCACGAAAGTCCAAATATGATCTGGAACACCTGAATTTAGCGATCATCTCAAGAACAGATTTGATGCATTAGGCACTAATGACCAAAGACCAGAAGAGTTGTGGGATGACATCAAGAACATCATACATGAAGAAAGCAAAAGGTCATTAAGAAAGAAAGAAAAGACCAAAACCGATTTCAGAAGAGACTCTGAACTTGATTTCTAGCTATGAGTCAGAACCAAAACAACAACAACACAGGCAAAATACTCAACGATGCTGTGAAGTGCGGTCGAGTAGGTTCTGACTCCTAGAGACCCTGTATAGTAGGCTTTCCGAGGAGCAGCTGGTGATTTTCAACCGCCAATCTTGCAGTCCAGTGCTCTATCCCAGAGCACCACACCAGAACTCCTGAATGATATAGGAAGCATCCAAAAACGATGGAAAGAATACACAGAATCACTGTACCAAAAAGGACTGGCTGACATTCAACCATTTCAGGAGTTAGTGTATGATCAAGAACCAATGGTACTAAAGGAAAAAACCCAAGCTACCCTGAAGACATTATCAAAAAACAAGGCTCCAGGAAAGTACGGAATACAAAATGTTTTTAAGTGTTTCAAACTGATACACACTGGAAGCACTCACTATTCTATGCCAAGTTATTTGGAAGACAACTACTTGACCAACTGACTGGAAGAGATCCAAATATAGATAAAAAATGTGCCATTCCAAAGAAAGGTAACCCAGCATAATGTGGAAATTATTGAACAGCATCATTAATATCACATGCAAATAAGGTTTTGCTTAAGATAATTAAACAGTGGCAGCAGTACATCAACAAGGAGTTGCCAGCTACCAGCTGCCAGAAATTCAAGCCAGATTCAGATGAGGAAGTGGAACAAGAGACAACATGGCTGAGGTCAGATGTATCTTGGCTGAAAATGGACAATAGCAGAAAGATGTTTAATTTGCATTTTATTGACTATGCAAAGGCATTCGACTGTGTGGATCATGACAAACTATGGATAACATTGCGAAGAATTGGAATTCCAGAATACTTCATTGTGCTCATGAGGAAGCTGTAAATAGACCAAGAGGCAGTCGTTAGAACCAAGGGGACACCAAATGGTTTAAAATCAGGAAATGTGTGCATCAGGGCTGTATTCTTTCACCATACTTATTCAATCTGTATGCTGGACAAATGATCCAAGAAACAAGTTTATATTTTAAATATAAACTTTATATTTTAAAAGTATAATGTTTATATTTTATTTAATATATAATTTAAAATTATATATTAAGAAGAACATGGCATCAGGATTGGAGGAAGAGTCATTAACAACCTTCAATATGCAGATGTCACAACCTTGTTTGCTAAAAGTGAACAGGACTTTAAGTACTTGCTCATGAAGACCCAAGGGTCATATCAAACAATTTACTTCACCTCAATCCCAAACTACCATATTCCTAACAGCACTGGCACTTTGTAAACTGGGTGCAGGCCTTCCCACACAGATCTGTTGGTTCTATGGGCAGCCCATGGCACTTTCAGTATTCTCCTCTAACACCATAACTCAAAAGCATCAATTCTTCTACGGTCTTCCTTATTCACTGTCCAGCTTTTGCATGTATATGAGGTTATTGAAAATACAATAGATACACTTAAAAAAGTGCTACAGAACATTAGACAATAAATTAGGAAAATATTATTAAATAAAGCTAGTATTACTGAACTAATACTCTTAAAGGGAAAATGGAATTTAAGGTGGGAAGAACATATTGTTGCTCTTGTTAAGTGCTATGGAGTTAACTCTGATTCACAGCGACCCGGTATAGGGTTTCTGAGGAGCAGCTGGTGGGTTTGAACTGCTGACTTGGTGGTCTGAGGTCCAGTGCTGATCTTATAGCATCAACCAGGAGTCCATATTGTCATTTTGGTTGTTGTTGTTAAGTGCTGGTTTTTAGATGCTGACAAATTGGTTCTGACTCAGGGACCCTATGCACAACAGCATACAATGCTGCCTGGTCCCGCCCATCCTCACAATCATGTTTTATCTGAGCCTCTTGCTGCTGCTGCCACTGTGTCAGTCCATCATGTTGGAGGTCTTCATCAAAAAGTTGTAATAGTCATGAATTTATATGCAACTAACAGTCTAACCTCAAAGGACAGAAAGCAAACATTGACAGAATATAATGCAACAATTGCCACATTGACAATCATAGTGGATATTTTACCAAACTACTAACAAAGCTGGGCAGTGAATAAGGAAGACCATAGAAGAATTGATGCTTTTGAGTTATGGTGTTGGAGGAGAACATTGAAAGTGCCCTGGGCTGCCAAAAGAACCAATAGATCCATTTGGGAAGAAGTGCAGCCAGAGTGCTCCTTGGAGGCCAAGATGGCCAAACTTCATCTCTCATAGTTTGGACATATTGTCAGGAGGGACCAGTCACTGGAGAAGGACATCATGTTTGGTAAGGTGGAGGGTCAGAGAAAATGAGGAAGACCCCCAGTGAGATGGATTGGCCAAGTGGCAGCATCGATGGACTCAAGTGTGGCAACAGTAGTCAGGTTAGCCCAGGATCGGGCAGTGTTTCGTTCTATTGTGTATAAGGTCACTATGGGTCAGTACCAACTCGATGGCACCTAACAACAATAACAACTAACTGAAAAAAAAATTAATAAAGCATATAAAAATTTAATAATGATGTATGTTTTGATACACTTATTAACAGTCTTGGTCTATATAGAATTCTGCACTCAACAAAAGAGAATCACAGTTTTTAATGAGCACATGGTGTGGCACTGTGGATCAGCAGTGGACTGCAAACCACAAGGTCAGTGGTTCAAACCCACCAGGTGCTCCTCGGAAACCCTATACAGGGTGGCTATGAATCGGAATCAACCTGATGGCACTTAACAACAACATATGGAATGTTAACTAAAGCTGGTGTGGTGCTGAGGTTAATGTACTAGATTGCAAGGTCAGTTTGAACTGCAAGGTTGGCGGTTCAAACTCACCAACAGTTCCTCAAAAACCCTATGCAGGGTCGCTATGAGTCAGAACCGATTCTGCAGCACTTAACAACAACAAATCACATATTGGGCTCCTGGTGTGGCGCTGTAGGATTAGCTCTGAACTGTGTACTACAAGGTTGACAGTTCAAACCCACCAGCTGCTCCATGGACACCCTGTACAGGTTCACTGTAAGTCAGAACCGACTTGATGGGACTTAACACCAGCAATCACAAACTAGGGCTCAAAGAAAGGAATATCAACAAACTCTAAAGACTTAATATCAAATCAGACAACTTTTCTAATTGAAGTGCATGAAAATTCTAAAATCAATATAAATTGGTTTTAAAATTTGGATTAAGAAAAATGACCAGTTTAAAGCAAAAACTCTGCTTCTATATAATTCAAGGGTGTAAGTCATAACCACATTGGAAAATGTAAAAAGATCTGCAATGGAATGAACAGTAAAAATACCATGAATCAAAATGGCTGGGATACAGTCAAAATAGAGTTTACAGGGAAATTCACAGCTTTAAATGAACTATGTTAAAAAAAGGAGAAAATCAAAAATAAGGAAGCTAAGAAGCCAGGAAAAATACCATTACTCAAATACAAAAAGTAGATGGAAACCAAAATCAAACCAAATCGGCAGCCGTCCGGTTGATCCCAACTCATGGCAACCCTGTAGAATAGACTATAACTTCTCCATAGGATCTGTGAGGCTGTAATCTCCAAGGAGCAGAAAGCCTCTGTTTCCCTCCCTCCTGCGAAGTGATTTGAAACTAGAAGTTTGAAAGTCGAAGGAAGGAAATGTCAGAACTAAACACAGAAATAAGATAGAAAGAGAGAGAATTAACAAAAGTAAAATCTTGTTCTTTGAGTAGCTAGTAGCTAGTGGCAAGACAGATGAAGAAAACAAGAAGGTACCAATCATCAATGTGGAAACAAAAAGGGGTCTGTGTGTCCCAGGTTTCAGACAAGCAGTAGGTAGGTACATAAACAGACAACACTCTTTGTGAACTATGCTCACCATGGAATGGTCAATCTCCCAAGATCAAAAGGCCAATATTTATCCAGAGACCAAGTTGAGAAGGGCTGGGAAGGAGAGTGGACTAGAAGCAGGAACCACAGGGAGGAAGCGGGATGACTGTTGTTGGGTGGAGGAATGGCAATTGGTAAGGTGAAACCAAATGTAAACCTGATGATCTTCTCTGTAATCCTTCATTCAATTCACAAGAAACAGTTTTAAAAAACTAAAAAAGGGGGGCAAAGGCACAGACAAAACAAAGGTTTACATTTTTGCTCTCAGGGTGTGAAGGAGCTTCAAAAATGTCTTAAGAGAATCTTCCCAAGACCATTTGTTCCTGAGCAGCCTGTTTCATTGTGGACCAGGACTTCACGTAAGCTCATTGCCCTCTGGGCTCCCAGGGTCCCTCATCTCTCAGGTTGTCAATGACATTAACATCAACAGACACCAAGACTGCCATCCATGAAAACATTCACATATATTTCACACATGTGCTCGCACACATGCACATACATGTAGGGACTCCCAGGGCAAACACGTACTGCCATCACACCTGTACACATGTTCATGCACAGTCCACACAGATGAAGGCACCCAGGTGAGTGCATACCTATCAGATGTCATGTGCATGCCCCGTCAGTGTGCTCAGACACGTGTGTCCCACTCAGGCCTACGGGGTGTGTGACCGTACCTCTAGCTCTCTCAGAAGCTCTGTCTGACCACATGACTGCAGGTCTTCGAGAGCTTCCCCAAACACGCGCCAGAAGCCCTCCTCACTGGTGGAGCCAGGAACTGGGCTGTAACGTAGGAACCAAAGAGGGTCAACTCCTGGTGGCTGGGCAGGCAGGCAGGTGGGCTGAGGCCTGAGGACTCTTCGGGGCCCTAAGGCCCGGCGTTGGACTTCAGGGGCCATAGGGTAGGCGGGCTGGTGGGCAGGCAGGCAGGCAGGCATCCTCGGTGGTAGTGCTGGGACCCCAGGGCAGTGGTTGGTGATACGGAATGGGGGGGAGACGCAGTTAGGGGCAACCAAGACTGTCGATGGCCAGTTAGAACAGGGGCAGATGAGGCGGGGTAGAGAGCGGTGACACAGGATGCCTAGGGAGAGAGACGGACGGACAGACAACAGACAGACAGAGAGGAGATCCACAGTGTAACCCCAGAGGACAGCCTTTCGCCTCACCCAGACACATAACATTGTGGGACAGTAACAGGACACAGATGGATGGAGAGGATGGAGTATTGGAGCTGGGGAGGGGCTGAGACCACCCCACCACTTGTGTCACACCACATGAGCTCCTTATCAGCTCAAAAGTGCAATCTCATGTTCACACTTGGATCTGTTGTCTCCAAGACTTCTAACATTTATAAAGTATACTATGGTTTGCAAAGCACGTTCTATTTTACAAAGGCTTCACAAAATAGTTGCTTCCTTCCCTTCCCATTTTACAGACGAGAACACTGAAGCCGGAGGACATTCACTGCTTTCAAATCAATTCTGCAAACCTTCCCTGAGCCCGACTCTCGACTGAGCACAAAGATCTGGATGCTGGTGTTCAGTCACAAGCTGAACAAGTGCCCTTTAGGTGTCCAGCACTGAGCTAGGGGTGCCACATAAGAGACATGACACGAAGTGCCCAGTGCCACCAGGAGAAGGAAGACAGAATTCCTTCTGCTTGGGGATGCTCTGTGGGTTTGAGCAGAGCCATGTCAGGGGAGTCAGAGCTGAGCTTTGAAGACTGAGTTGGAATTCACCAGGAAACCGACGGAAGGGCATTCTAGGCAGAACGAGAGTACAAGGCCTGCCCTACCCAAGCCTTCCCCTTGGGAACAAGGCGGAGTCATACAAGTGGACACTTCAGACAATTGACTTTGTTGTTGGTCTTCCATGACTTGGACACTTGGGAGGCCAAGCCAAGCTGCTTTCCTACCGCCACACCTCGGCCTGCTCTACCCCACACCCCATCTGTGCTCTCCTCACACAGCCGAGATACCTCTGCTCAGGCTTCCTCCACTGGGAGGTCCCGTACTCCCACCCGACCCAGCCAACATATCATGGCTGCCTGTTCCCTGGCAGTCTTCCCGACACAGACCTAGTTGGTGGCTCCCAATCCTCCTCCTCTTCCTCAAGGAAGTTCTCATCCACAGGGGCCGGGGGATAGCTCCTCCTCCGGGGTTCCGAGAGTGGGGGGCTGCTCCTCAGGCGACCAGGTCGCCACTCCTGGGGGACCAGGCCCCGGACTGCCGCCTGGGGAGTGCAGGAACCTGGCAGATGGGGAGCGAGCTGTCTGTGTTCTGTCGGCCACTGTCATCTTGGTGCCTATTCCTGGCCCAGTTGTGTCAGGTGGCCACCCCCAAGGGTCCTGCCATGCTGGTCCCACTCCCAGAATGCTCAAACTCCCTCTCATCCATCATACAGATGGAATGCACAGCTCCGCAGGGCTAGGCTGGGCTGGTCCCCTGCCAGAGGGGCACACGCTGTGTTTTCACCTCTAGTCCACCTTTGGTAGTGCAAAGGCCCTGCCTCAAGATGGGAACTGAGGCCCAGAGAGGGCAGGGCCCAGTGAGTGACAGGCAGGCCTCTCACCAGCTAATCCCTGAGCTGGAAGACCTTGCAGCCTGAGTCACAGATGGAAACCAGATGCTCCCCCTCAGGACACCTAGGGGCCCCAACATCCATGAGGGCCTGTGTCTTGGTCCTATAGCATGGGTTCACAGGGTGGGAAGGAGCTTTCTGTATCCCAACCTTCAAATGTATGGGCAAACACTGAACACATGCTGTGTGTTCACATAAGGAGCTGGTTGGGCATGAGGGGTACAACGTAAGTAAAGCAGGCTTAGCCCCTGACCTCCTAGTAGAGGAATCTGAGTAACCAGTCATGGCATTGTGGCCTAGGGGCCCTGAGAATAACTAAGGGGCTACATTAGTCCCAAAAAGGATGGAGCTAGCTGAGAGAGGAGAACATGTTGTTTGTCCAAGGGTTCCTGGTGGTACCTGTGCCTCCAAAGCCGGCCTCTGTAGCTGAACTGCTCCAGGACTCCACAGCACTGTCCACACTGGGCACAGCGGGTGAAAGTCGGGGAGCCAGCAGGCCTCCTTTGACAGCCTCAGGAGGGTCCTCATCCGCATCACTGGCTTCACTGAGGCTGCCTGACTTTCGGGGTGTGAGGGGACCTGGGGGAAAGGGACATGTGACAAGGAGAGACCGTTTCCCCAACTCAGTCTCGTCACTGTCCCTGCTGAGCCTGCTGCTGGGTGATCTAATGTGTGCTCCCTCGTTCAATCACCCAGAACGTGGCATGTTGATGATATTCCTGAGGCTCAGGGAATATCACCCGGTGAGCAACTGTGGATGGTCTCTGGTGGCTTTCCTATCAAGGCTTTAGGGACGTATTTGAGGATGTTGGGGAATGTACTGGTTTGGAGCAGGAAGCACAAGAATGAAGGTATGGAGCTCTGGGTTCACACCCCCCTACCTGTCACCCTGTGTCCATCACTCTCCTCTCCCTGAGTCCTTATTTCCTCAGTTCTTCCAGGTAGCCTTCCACCTGCACAGGGCTGTGCCTTTGGGGAGACTGTACATGCAAAGCCCAGCACTAAAGCAGGTGTTTCCCTTCCTAAATGGCCTAGGTGGTCCCTAGAGTGTAGGGAGAGGCTCACGGTCCAGCTGCTTCTTGATCTTCAGTGTGACAGTCTCCCCAGCCACCTGCAGGAGGTGGATGGCCTCACTCAGTGGCCGGCCCTTGAGGCTAACGCTGTTGATGGCCAGGATGCGGTCCCCAACATGGATGGCACCGGTCCTAGGGAGAGGGCACAGGGCAGGAGATGGGGCTTAGATACCCAGGGCCTTACAAAGGGGCTTTGCCCATGGAAACCTGGAGGAACTCTGAGACTTATGCCTGGATGACCCTAGGTAAACCAAATGTAATCTTGGGTTGTATTAATGGAAGTATAAAGTCTAGGACCTGGGAGGGTATCCTGCCTGTCTCTAAAGTCAGGCTGTGGAATAAGTCCATTTTGAGAATCGGTTGAATTCCAGATCTGCCACATACTAACTGTATAACCTCGGTAAAAGTTTCTTTTATCTTCCCTAAGTCTCAGTTCCTTTTCCTATAAAACAGGGATGATGACGATTATACCAAATTATAACTGAGGAATCAAAGGAATGAATGCATACTTCATCACCACCAGAACACCTTTGGTAGCCCCTTCCTCTCCCTGAGCCTCAGTTTCCCCACCCACGAGCAAAATCACTAGGCCCAGGTGCTCTTCAGTGGAGAGGTCAGGGGCTCATTAACAAGTGGCAGCACTCATTGCTGTGGTTCAGCAGTTCTATCCCCAGTTGCCTACTAGAATGACCTACAGAGCCTCCATCCAGATGCATTAAATGAGCTGAGCAAGGTGGCTCTGAGGTGCAGCAGGGATGACAGTGGGGAGAACAATTTCAGCAGATGCCAAGGGCACAACTGGCTGGGAGAGAAAGAGGCAGGAGACTACAGTTGTGAACACCAAGTGGGGAGGTCACCCTCGGAGAAGGCCCCTGGAGGACTGAGCTCAAGGGTACTCTCAAGCCCAGCAGTACCCAAAATACTCCTGGGGGCATGGGAGAGTGTGCTGGTCAGGAGGGAAGCCCTTAGCCACGCTGTTGAGGACTAAAAAGTGACAGGTGGTACAAAACACACTGGAATCTGAAGAGTTGATGTGGGAAAAGAAAGTTAAGGTGTGGCACTGTGGGCTAATGCGTCAGACTGCAAAGCTGTTGGAACTGCAAGGTTGGTGGTTCAAGCTCACCAGCTGCTACTTGGAAACCCTATACAGGGTCACTATAGGTCAGAATTGACTATACACTTATGGCACTTAACAACAACAACATGATTATATTAACCACATGTTAATTAAGTTAAATGTGTTTTAAGTAAATTTTGTTTCTTTTTATGTGACTACAGAGGAGTTCAGTGACTCTGTAGGATAAGCACTGGACTGCTAACCATAAGATCAGTGGTTCAAACCCACCAGATGCTCCTCTAGAAAAAGACAAGGCTTTCTGCTTCTGTAAAGTCTCAGAAGCCCTACGCAGGGTTGCAAGCAACTCAATGGTAGCTAACAACAACAGCAACAATAATGCGGCTACTAGAATATGTACAATTAAAATTAAGGCTCACTTAGAGGTCTACTGGACAGTGATGAGCCAGATCAGCCCTGCCAGGCACTTGTCGGTTAGATGAGGATATATGAGGTCAGAAAGGCCTGCACCAGTCCCTGCAGTCTGCCAGACGTCCAGCAGGGGGCACTCCAGGAGTGGAGACGCCCACTGGGCTAAATCCTATGGTGTGAGCTTCAGGTCCCAGAATTCAGACCCTCCTCTGGCTCCTCTCCACCTTGTGGCCCCTCCCTGTGTGTAGTGTGCAAGCCCCCACCCCACCCCACCCCCACATCCCTCCAGTCCCGACCAGGGTCCCTCACTGATAGCCAACTGGGAGCTCATCACTCCTTTGCCTGCTCTGCTGGGATAGCCCCCCTGTGATGCCTTTGGGGCCCATTGCATCTCTGAGACCCTAGACTCATCTCCTCACCTACGTGGGACAACCTGAGACAGCCTTAGACACCCCTTTATCAGAGCTCCCCTGCTTTCAGTTTCAGACACACTTCCTAGCAGAGAGGCCCCAGAGGTTGGCTATCCCTCAATGCCACAGGCAAAGTTCTTCCTTGGCACTATAGGATCAGCACTGGACTACTAACAGAAAGTTTGGCAGTTCAAACCCACCTCCTGGCCCTCAGAAAATCTATACAGGGTAGCTGTGAGTCAAAATTGTCTCCACGGCACTGAACAACAACAACAAACTGTGAAGGCACAAAGAGGCTGCCCCACACAGGCTTATGGTGCTGACTTTTGAGAAATCGAAACCTCCAGATTGGGAGGAGAAGCTCACACACTTTTATCCAGCACTTATCTGGGCTATGATGCCTACAGAAACACTTCACAGATGAGGAAACTGAGGCACAGAGGGGAAGTGACTGGCCCAATGGGGGGTCCCTGGGCCCACCCTTGTGTTACCATGGAACTCAGGCCCACCTCTCAGCCAGACCACGCTTGGTGAGGCCTGAGATAATGATGGGGTCAAAAGGTTCTTCCGTGCCCGAGATGGTGATGCCCAGGGGACCCCCGTAGCGTTTTAGCTCCACCGTGTAGCTGATGGCACCTGTGGTCTCCTGTTCATCTGCAAAGGTGGGCACCGTCAGGAATGGAGGTGGGGGCTCCAGGCCCTCACCGCCCCCTGCAGCCGGCACTCTTGCTTCCTCACTCATTCATTCGTTCATTCTTCACATAAGCCTGGGACCCTGAGGCTGTCTTCTGTCTCCAGACACAATGTAAATGAAAGGAAAAAGAAAGGGGGGGAAAGCCAAACAAACTGGACCTAACATTAAAAAACATTTCACACACCACACAGAACAACAATAGTATCAGGATGATGGAAAACCAGATTCCTGACTCCTCTTAAAAAAAGAAGAAATCTGCCCACTAGTGACCCTCCTTCCCAAGGTGGGCTTTGAAAGCTGCCTTTCTGAATAAAGATTCACTGTTGCCACAGTCCTCAGCCTTCCCTAATGCCTCCTTCATTTGTAGCGTTTTTCTTACCTTCTTTCCACTTTTCTTGTTTCTGTATCTGTCTAGACTCAGAGGCGTCCAACTTTGCAGCCTTTGCTTATTCCTCAGAGCCCCACCTGTTTAGCTGAGTATTCCCTCATCCCCTCACAGCCCCACCCACCCACCTGTTCACAGTGGGCTTTGTGCTAGGCATGGAGGATTCAGGCAGAGTTTCAAACTCCCATCCACCACACAAAGGCCCTAGTGGGTCCCAGACTATGACGCTGGTCCCTTCCCCATCTGTTCGTTCCAGGGGCTCCCAACAGCCTCCCTTTCTCAGCCAGTGAGAGCCCTGGAGGGAGGGCCGGGTGGTAGGCATACCAGAGTTGTCTTCATCCTTCCGGACCTTCAGCTTCACCAGGTCCTCACACTGTCGTAGGATCTGCACAGCGTCCTCCATGGGGCAGTTGTCCAAGCGGATGTTGTCAATAGCCAGCAGTTTGTCACCCGGCTCCAGGGTGCCAGTTCTGCATAGGTGGGGGCAGGGAGAAGCCTGGCACATGTGGCTACTGAACTCACCCCCACTGACACTGTCCATGCCAATGCCCAGAGAAGCCCACCTGTGTGCCACACTGCCTTTCTTGATGTGAGAGATGATCAGGGGCTCTCCTCGCTTCCTGCTGGCCGCTGGTGGAAAAGAGGCATGAGTCCAACCTCAGACGGCCTCAGCTCACAACCACCTCACAGCCTGGACCCATGGCTGCCTGCCTGGGGGAGTCACTTTTCTGTCTCTCAGTTTCCCCTCTCAGTTTCACCTCATGGGGAGGCGGTGGAGTGAAACCAGATACTGCAGGCACTAGATCTAATGGAACTCTAGTTCTTATAAACATCAGCTCTGTTCCTGCGGCAGAGCCCATGTGTAGCAAACTGTGGGACCCTTGAGGGGCTGTCCTTGGCTCAGGAGCCTGTTTCTCCAGCACCTGGTATGCCCCCTACTATGAATTTGGTGCCCACCCTGGACACTGGGGACACAGTGCCTGTATAGAAAACCAAACCACTCTGAACTAAGGTGGGCTCACTGCCAGCACCTCTCCACTGCCCCTTGCCCGCAGGAGATCTCAAAGGTCAAGCACTCGCACTGCGCAGATTTGGAAACCCAGGCTCTGGGGAACTCAGATCTTACTAGACACTGCAAAGTGGACCTGGATGGTAGGTGGCCAGGCCCGCCCCCTCAGCCATGCTGTGGCCTCTCTCTCCCAGAAAACTGCAGCAGCCACAGCATGACAGTCTGTTTGTCCTGGCAGGGGGCTCTCAGGGCTGCATACACAAGGGGACTCACAGCTGATTGTGATGCCCAGCTCCACGCCACGCCTCTTGGGCAGCTTCACATGGAAGGTGCCACTGCTTGGGACGACAGACTCTGCGTACAACAGACATAGATGACAGGAGAGGCTCAGGAGGGGTCTCAGGTGTCCCAGTCCCTGGTACATCAGGACCCACTGGGAGGTACCCCAAACAATCACCACCTTAACCCCTGGCAGACAAGGAAACTAAGGCACAGTGATTGACAAATGTGTGGGACAAGCAACTCAATCAAAGCAGTGCAGGGGCTAGACCACACCTCACACTGCCAGTGGGGGTCCCCATAGCCAAATCAGGTCCAGGTCAATTTGGTAAGATACTGAACACTGTATGCACCAGGCCTGGGTGGGCTCTTTACATGGCCTATCTAACCCAGATTAACCACGCCCCTCTAGCAGACATCTCAGAGTCTAAATCACCAACAGCAGAATTCGGACACACATTGCTTTGGATCCTTTGCCGAAGCCATGCAAACCAGGAGGCTGGCGCATTCTCAGGCCCACTCAGACCACCAGCATCTGCCTCACTACAGCACTAGTGTAAGAAGCACCTTTTGTGCTCAGTCAACTGCAAATGTCCCTGGGCTGAGGTGGAGGAACTCCAGGAGTCCCAAAGTGGAAAGCAACTGCAAGGTCACCCACTCACCTGCCACATCAAACTCGATCTCCAGCACGACCCTGTGGGCCAGAGCAGCGTCCCGTAGCAGCTGGTTGGCTTCCTCCATCGTCCCGTCCTCGGTAGCAATGCCATTGATGGAAAGGACACGGTCCCCCACCTGCAGCAGCCCACACCTGAACCAGGGCAGCCAGGAAAAGAGGAGAGCAGCAGATAGCTCCATGCAGCTAGAGGACCCTGCACAGGGCAGAGCAGGAGCAGACCCAAGCCCCCCATCCCCTTGCCAGCTGAGTTTGCCTCTCAGTTCTGCCCTGGGCCAGTTATGTCTCCTCCAACAAATGGCCATGTAACTGTGGCTAACGGCTTAACTTTGCTGGGCCTCAGTTTCTCATCTGTCTAATAGGGACAATGACACGAGCCATACAAGACTTATATACAGAATCTGCCATGCCCTGCAGATTCCCATCACAAGCTGTGTGACCCTGAGAAGTGTGTCAGAGTCTTTGAGTCTCAGTGTCCTCATCTGTAAAATGGGGCTGGTAAAGTCTGATGTGGGGACCGGGCAGCAGACTCACCTCTCGGCAGGGCTGTCGGGTTCAATGAAGCGCACGAGGGGCGGAGAAGAAAGGGTCTCAGTGGCAAATATGCCACCCTGGAGCTGGAGGCCGAATCCGCTGAGGGGATCTCCACAGAGCACAATCTCGGTGGTCTCTGTGTGTACAATCTGTCCACCTGGTCCCACCGTGCTGGAGGCCAGCGACACTGTGGGGCAGGTGGCCACAGGCACTCAGGTGGACCACCCTGTGGGGCGTTCCCACCCACCCACTCCCAGCCCAAGATCTAGAGTCTGAGTGGCAAGTTAAGTGGGTGTCCTAATTGTTACACTGCTCTGAGCCTTGGTCCCCTCATCTGTACAAGGTGGTTGTGCTGCCCCTTGTCCTGGTGTTAACGCTATGTTAGTACATGGGTAAGTAAAAGAACATTGCTACAAAATGACAGAAACCTTTATTAAACAAAATTATCAACATGAAAAGCTATTGCTTCTCAACATCTCCTCCATCTGTACACTTAAGAGAAATGCTTCCATCTTCCTAAGCGCTCCCTGAAGGAGCCCTGCTAGCGTAGTGGGTTACCCACTGGACTCTGAACCACAAGGTCAGCAGTTTGGATCACCAGTTGCTCCATGGGAGAAAGACAAGGCTTTCTGCTTCCGCGAAGATTTATAGCCTTTGAAACCCTGTACAGGTCATTCAGTATCAGTTGGAACCTACTCAATGGCACCCCACGAGCACCAGCCCCTCCTTCAAAAATTCTTTGATAACACCACATCAAAACAGCAACTGCAGCTTCCTTGAGGGGTTCAAATTGTGTTCCTTTTTTGTGTTCTTTGCATTTGGGGAACAAAAAGAAGTTTGAAGGGCTGTAGGGTGGATGAGGTCGGGTTTACCAATGGGATTCTTATAGTACTACCCTTGAAAAATGGATAGGTACATTGTTTGAGGGGGAAAAAAAAAATTCCTCAACACAGCTTTCTTAGGTTTTTTTCTCACCATTGCAGTTTTCAAGTTTCTAAAAACTTCTCCCTAGTGAGACCCTATGACCATCAAAAAAATCTGTTAAGATGACCCCTTCAGATGCCCAAAAACAGGCATCATAATTTTCTGAATTCAACTGGACCAGTAGATCTCATTGGAAGTCACTATTTTGACTGAACCTTGCTCTCTGGATCATACTGAAAATCTAAGATTTATCACCGGTTATGTTCCATTCCACAAACTCATCTTCATTAGCTTCGATCTTGTTTAGAAAGCTGGTGGAAAGATTAGCTCTTAAAGCTACCTGGTCTTCATACAGCACTTTTGGTACTCATCCAGGGAAAAGCTCGCTGAGGACCAAGATGTTTGTCAAACCATGTGGGATCTCAACTCCAGTAATGATCACATCCATGGTAATTCGGAGATGTTTTCCCATCACTTTCTGGACTTTATTTTTTAGATGGATGGTCTTCTCTCTCTTGTTTCATCTCTGAGGACTTCCTGATCTTCTTAAAATTCTTGATCCATCTAAAAACTGTTGTTTTATGTGGGGCAGCATTTCCAAAAACTTGTTGCAAAGATTGGATTTGCAATGATTTGGGATTTGCAGTGATTTGGAAAATGTCTACTTGAGTTTTGTTAAAAATTTGCTATTAGCTCTTACCTCAATGCCATTTTGTTTTCCATGGGACAAAAAGTATCTGTTTTTTTTTTAAGAAACTAAGACAAGTGCATTACTGAGAGAACTTGTCTATAACCATCCATCCATCACAGACACATGTCTAAATATGTTTTGCTTGGAAATGTATGTTATGGAATCCCGATACACCTGCATGGGCTGGGAATCCCATTGGTAATACTTTTTACTCACCCTCAGATATGACATTAAAAAGACAAAGCCACTGTTATAGAGTTGATTCTGACTTATAAGACCCCATGTGTTACAGAGTAGAACTGCTACAGGGGGTTTTCTTTACTAGTCTTTATAGAAGCAAATTTCCAGATCTTTCTTTCACAGTGCCACTGGTTTTAACAACCACCCCAAACCAAAAACAAAACCTATTGCCATTAAGTGGATCCTGACATGTAGCGACACTATAGAACAGTTTCCAAGGCAGCAATCTTTACTGAAGCATACAGTCACATCTTTCTCCCTCGAAATGGCTGGTGGGTTTGAACTGCCGACCTTTCAGGTAACAACCCAGTACTTTAACTAGTGTGCCACAAGGATGCCTTTTTAGCTATTGAGTACCAACTATTTGCAATACCCAAGGACTAGGGTGTATGTTTCACCATATTACATATGGTGGGTGGTTAATGTGCCATGGAGTTGGTTCCGACTCATAGCGACCCTGTATACGGTTTCTGAGGCTGTAAATCTTTACCGGAGCAGAAAGCCTCATCTTTCTCCTGTGGAACAGCTGGTAGTTTCAAACTGCTGACCATGAGTTTAGCAGCCCGATTCGTAACCATTACGCTACCAGAGCTCCTAGCTGGTACGTAGGAGGTATTAAAAGTTCATTTATTAATTAATCAGCTGCTATAATCAGAAATAATAATAGTAATACTTTATTAGTACCCATCCTAGGAAAGGGGAGCTCTATAGGATAAGCACTGAACTGTGAACCAAAAAGGGTAGTGGTTCAAGCCAGTCAGTCGCTCTTCAGGAGAAAGATGAGGCTTTCTACTCCTGTAAAAGATTTAAAGCCTCTGAAACTCTATGTAGGGTTGTTATGAGTCAAAACCAACTTCACTTAATAACAATAACAATCCTAGGAAAGGGAGAAACAAAGGGTCCCAAGAGCCACCAGTGTCCACATCTCCCAGCACTATGAATGACATTTTCTGTAGTTTTTCACCTACACATCCCCAGCTCTGGTCATTGGCATGTGACTCTGAAATCTGCTTTCCTTTTCACTTTGGCTTCCAGGAAGCTCAGAATCATATTTACCTCCTTCAGATGCTAAATGATCTACATTCCTTTTTTCCCTCACCTGGCTCAATCCCAAATGGCCCATTGTGACCTTATGACCTTCCTGGGGGTCTGTGCAACTCATGCGGCCAGAAGGTGAAAACACTTTCTACATCAACAAAAGCAAGATTTCAAAATCTCAGGCTTTCTTGAGACTTTTACCACTTCCACATGTCTCCTACATTAGCATTCACTGCTATTTGCCTTTACATAGATTTTTTCAATACTTAAAATACAAGAGGGCTTCAAAAGTCTGCAGAAAAGTGGAATTGAAAGGTAATGTAATATTGCCAGGAAAGTTTTGAAGTCCCCTAGTATAAGTATAAAGAAATATCAAACAAAAGGTAACTGGAAATTTATATACAAACAAAAATTACTGAATTCTGGAAACACAATCTCAGTCCTGTGTGGTTTTCTTAGAAGAAATTAACAAATGTTTGAAAGACAGTAAACACACAGTAACAACACACTGAAGACTTTTCTCTTTGACTAGATAAAGCTAGACTCAAAGGGTAATGAAGTAGAATCACTATGCCTTCATGCAGATCTGAAATGTCATCTCTCAAGGCACTCTACATTACCTGCAGGGAATTTTCATTTAAAATATAAATAAATAAAAGACTAGGAGTGCACAAAGTAACTAGCATGCCATAGGTGTGCCCTTGTTCAGTGTGCAACCTGCTCAACCATCCCTGGTGGTCCAATGTGTCACTCATATTATTTAACGCCCCCTACCAGCTACTGCTCAGAAACCCTATGATGGGTCGGAACTGACTTGACGGCACTGAACAACAACAAACCAGAGGCGCTGTGGATTAATGCACTGTATTGCAAAGTTTCTCTGAATTGCGAGGTAGGCGGTTCAAGCTCACCAGCTGCTCCTCAGAAACCCTATACAGGGTCACTATCAGTGGGAATTGACTTGACAGCACTGACAACAACCGCAACAACAACAACCAGTCCTGATGAGGAGTCCTGGTGTGGTGCTGTGGGTTAATGCACTGGACTGCAGAGTTGTTTTGAATCATAATGTTGGCAGTTCAAGTTCACCAGTCGCTCCTTGGAAACCCTATGCAGGGTCGCTATGAGTTGGAACTGACTCGATGGCACTTAATAACAACAACAACAGCCAGCCCTGGTGTAGGATAGGCACTTGACGGCTAACCGCAAGGTCAGCAGTTCAAACCCATCAGCTGCTCCTCAGAAAACCTATACAGAGTCGCTATGAGACAAAATTGACTGGGAGTCACTTAACGACAACAATCAGATACCTGCCCTAAATATCCCTCACCCTTTGTGAACCTCATTTTCAAGCCTACAAGCAGCCCAGAAGGGAAGGGAAGGACCATGGCTTACGTGAGCTTTTGTGCTCCCTTCTTCGCTGCCGCCTTCGCCCCATTGTGGTCCTGGGGCTCATTGGCTGGGCTCCACGGGGAAGAGGGCTGGGGTTGGCGCAGGAGAAGGCGTGGTTCATGGTCGGCGAGGAAAAGGGAGTCGAGGACAGGGCTGGGGAAATGAGGGCACAGCCCCGTAAACCCTAGCCGGGGCCCCTCCGCCCTAACCCCTGGGTGGGTGTCAGAAAGCCACCCCAGTACAGGGAGACTGGGGATGACTTTACCCTTTCACCTCAACTAAGTACTTGCTGTGTGACCTCAGAGTGTCTTCACCACTCTGGGCCTCACAGGGTGGTGAAACCTGGCTCTCAGGAGCAAGGACCCGTCTCAGCCACAGACTTGAGCTGCATCTTGGGTTCCTCCCCTCTAACACAGGGCAATGTGGGAGGGACTGGACTAGGTGAACCACAGCAGTCAGGCATGTTACATCTGCTTTGGTCCTGGCTGGCTGGCGTAGTCCAGGTGGGCGTCCTGCAGTGGCTGGGAGGCCGGGGGCTGTGGCAGGAGGGCAGGCAGGGTTCCCAGGGATGAGACCACTCGCTCCTCTGTATCTTCACTGTAACGGGAGTGGGGGGTGAGGTGAGGAGAGAGATACAGGCATCAAGCTGAGCATGCCCAGAAACTCCCGTTTGCACTGTGACGGGGGCACAGAGTTTCCCTGGTGCCAGGCACGGACAGTTTACTTTCGTGCTCCAGTCACCAGTATGTGTCGACACCAGACTCAGGACACCATATGTGGCATCCTTCCTGGGGGCATCGGCAATCTATTTGAGCCCAGGTAGCCTGGTTCTGGAGTCCTGGTGTGGCGCTGGGGGTTAATGTGCCAGACTGCAAAGCCGTTTGAACTGCAATGTCGGCAGTTCAAGGTCACCAGCTGCTCTTAGGAAACCTTATACAGGGTTGCTCTGTTGGAATCGACTTGACGGCACTTCACAACAACAGCCTGGTTCTGCCGCCCAGTCACTGAGAGGAGTGCGGTCCATTGGCAGTCTCCCATCAGTGCCGTCAGGTCCAGCACCATCAAGTGACAGGACCTGACCATTTCAGCCCCACACAACACTCAGTTCAGCTCCTGGGTCCTCTGACGGGCCAGCTGAGGCTGGCTCAGACCTGACACTGCCTGCCTGCTCCTGCTTCTCATGCTTTCCCCTGCCTTACCCCCAATAAGGGGCACATCTCTGCTCTGACATGCATTCGGTCCAATGCCCAGGGGCACAGAGAAGCTCAACTTAACGCAACTGGTACCCCAGTAAACCCTGTGCACCCCTACCCCATCAAAGCATCTATGCTCCAACAGACCCTGAGGACTCTCTCCAAGATGGGACCTCCTCAACCTGGTCCTTCAAATTGGACACCATAGCACACCTCCTTTGAGGCTCTGGCTTAGCCCAGTGTTCCTGGAAGGGCTGGTAGGGACCACACACCTCAGCCTATGGGAGTCTCCTCGTTAAAGGCTTCCTGGGCCTGGGAACTCTTTCCTGCTAAGGACATTGCATCCTTAGGTCTGGCAGACCCTGGAGCCAAAGACTCCATCATGAACAGCTGTGGGTCATGGAGAAGTCACTTAACCTCTCTGTGCCTTACTGTCACAATTATCTACACAATGGGGCTAAACTGCAGCTGTCTCCTAAGGTAATGGTGGGGGAGGGGGTTGCTGTTGAGTCGCTTCCGACTCATATGGACCCTACGTAGGGTTTCTGAGGCTGTAAATCTTATAGGAGCTGAAAGTCTCATCTTTCTCCCATGGAGCGGCTGGTAGATTTGAACTGCTGACCTTGCAGTTAAGAAGCCCAACACATAATCACTATGCTGCCAGGGTTCCTTTAGGGTAATGGGGGGGAATTACAATGAGTTAATGTGGATAACTGAAGTGACTAGGGCAGGGCCGGCACCCAGTTATGTAACCATATAAAGCACTGCCCCTCTCTGAGCCTCAGCTTCCTCATCTGTCAAGTGGGTTAATAGCAATACTGACTCCAGAGAGTTGTCAGGAGGAAAAACAAGATCACCCATGTAAAGCTCCAAGCCTGCCCAAACCAGGGGCTCAACCAATGGCACCAGAATGAACTGCGTCGTTCCAAGCCCCAAGGCCTCCCGTATCAGTCCTGTGTTGTTGTCAAATGCTGTCAGCTCTGACTCAGAGTGACCCTTATAGGGTCTCTGAGGAGTGGCAGGTGGGTTTCAACAGCCCACCTTGCAGTTAGCGGTCCAGTGCTTATCCTACAGCACCACACCAGTATCCGCCCCTTTTCAGGTGGTGGCAGAGGCCACGGAGATGGACTCTTCCCAGAGCCATGCCCCCACATCTCATTTGGGAGGCGTCTTTCTTTCTCTTCGGGGTTTTCAGCCCCAGCGCCCTGACCACAGCCCTGTGCTGCACCCTTCCTGTCCATAATCTTGTTAATCCCATGAGCACTCAGGGTTCCGGTCCCATTCACAGATGGGGGAGTTGAGGCACAAAGAAAGGAAATCACTCGCCCAGTGGCTGAGGCAAAGCTAGGGCTTGAACCCACGGCTGGGACTAGGCTGCAGGAAAGGCTTCACCACCTTGACCTGGAAACACCTCCCTTTGACTACCCTCCATCCTGCCCTGCACTCCAGCTTGGCTTCCTGACTCTTCTGCTCCTGAAACCGCCTGGTATCCAGCTTCTTGGAATCTCCCTGCTCCAGGCTGAGAGCCCTCCTTCTTCACTGAAGGGGCTCCAGGCATTTCTTCTACTTGATGTCTCCTGGGTACCTACCAAGAGTCTCGAGCTTAGCCCAGGATCTCAGAGCACAGATGCACCACCCCATCCTTCATTCTAGCCCTTACACTTCTATAAATGCATCCATTGAGGCAACCAGCTTTGGAGATATCTGAGACAGTAAACTGTCAACTCAAACCCCCAAGGTGTTCCTCTGCCCCATTATACCAACTTCAGCCGCTGCACATGACAGCTCAGCTTTCCTGTGTGACTGGGAATTTGTCATAGTCAATTTTGTCTGGAATCCCCAGCCTGCCCAGGGTTTTCATCGTGGGCCTCTCGGGTTCCACACACACCCTCCCCACCAGCTCTCAGGCCCAAGTCCCGAGACCTACCCAGAGGACCCACCTGCCTCTGAGGTCTTCGGGGGCTGCCGGCTTTGGGGTGCAGGCAGGATCTCTAGCCTCACTTTCTCTGAGATGTTGGTCAGGAGTTTGGTTGCATCGAGCAGCGAGCAGTGCTCAGTGCTGGTGCCGTCGATGGACAGGATGTGATCCCCGGCGTGCAGCGCTCCGCTCCTGGCAGGGCAGGGAGTAAAGGGAAAGGCCGGGCTGTCTCCCAGGCCACCTCGCTCCCTTGTCCCCATGGCAGCATGCAGCATGTATCTCACCTGTCCACCACACTGGCTGGCTTGATGCGGTCAATGGTGATGACTGACTTATTGCGGTGGGAGCACGTGGCCAGCGAGATGCCCAGGGTGGAGCCTGGTGCCTTGGCAATCTCTACCAGCAAGGGCCCTGACACATTGGCCACCGTGTCTGAAGAGAAGAGTTTGAGATGCAAACACTGAGCAGCTTCCCCCCTCAGCAGACTCTGCCATCTCCCCTTAGCCCTCACTGCCAAGGGCTACTGCATCCATTTTACAAACAAGAAAACTCGGTGTGTGGAGGTGAAGGCTTTGTCCAAGTTCACCTGACCCGGCAGCAGCAGATGAGGGGCTGGGAAACGGATTGCAGGGCAAATAACAATTTGCTAGTATTTACTGAGGAGCCCTGGTGGTACAGTGGGGTAAGCACTAGGCTTACCACACTGTGTGAAAGGTCAGAGGTTCAAACTCACCAGCTGCTCTGTGGGAGACATAGGAGGCTGCCTGCTCCCATCAAGATTTTTTCTCGGAAACTGTAAGGCGAGTTCTACTTTGTACCACGGAATTACTATGAGTCAGAGTCGACTGGATGGCAGTGGGTTTGGTATTTTTTGAGCACCTGCTGTATATCAGGCACAAACTTGTAGCGCTCAGTACAATCCTTCCCCGTGTTAGCAAACAGCACCACCATCAACGCAGCTAACTGCTCAAACTCAACAGCTGCTCATTACCACCAGGACCGCTCTCTCTGACCTGCCACAGGCCAACCAGCGGTAAATCAGGTCAGCTTAACCTTTGGACTATTTCCTGACTCCAGCCCCCTCCTCCTCACCTCTTCTGTGTGCAGCCTGGGCCGCCACCACCATCTGGTACTGGGGTGACTATCACTGTCTCCAACGGGTCACCCTTCCCTTCATCTTGCCTCCCGTGGCCTGTCAGATCACTGAGGCCCACAAGGCCACAGAGGGTCTAGCCCCTGAGTGGCCTCTGCCCTATTTCCTTCTATTGCTCCTTCGCTCATCTGGCTCAGTTACAACAGCCTCCTCCCTGCTCCTGAAACGTGCCCGCCAGCTTCCTGCCTCAGGGCCTTTGTACTTGCTGCTCCCTCTGCCTGCAGTGCTCTTACAGCAAATATAAAGTACATCATCCAGATTTTTCTATCTCTCCCAGCCATTGGACACACTCTGTTTTATTGATGTTGTTCACTGTCTGCTTCTTCCATCAGAATATCAGCTTCTGGAGAGCGGAGACTTCATCTGCATTGTTCATCTATCAATGCCCGGCATATAGCATTCATTGCTCAGAGGCTCAAAGAGGTGCCCAAGGCCATACAGCTTTTGGAGTGTCGAGGATCTGTGCCCACTGCCCAGGCATCACCCTTGGGCCCACTCACCAGGGATGGTCACGTCGTACTCCACCTGGAAGAGAGCCTCGTGGCTACACTGCCGCAGGGTGGCCAGAGCAGCAGCTTGGCTGGCCCCATGCAGAGAGACACCATCAATACTGAGTAGCCGGTCACCTGCCTTCAAGGAACCCTCCCTGCAGGGAAGGCCATGCACACTCAGAGGCTTGGAGGGCCAGCAGGGGTGGACGTGTGTGAATGCACAAATGTGTGGTTCTGGGGGTGAACAGCTGAATGAATGAAGTGGGAAATCAAGCTCTGGTTGGGGCGACTGGACACCTGCCCACCCATCTAGTGCCTACTCAGGGAGCGTGCCAGGGTCCAGAAGTACACAGCGTCAGGGACAAGCCCCCAACCACTTACTTGTTGAATAGTGGCAACTCTGGCCTGGGAGAGGTGCCCTAGCTGGGGTTCACCTCAGTTTGAGTCACATGTTCCAACATGAGGCCAAAGCTAATCTGGGAGGTTCTATAAAAAAGCTTCTCACAGGGCTCTTGCCCAAGGACTAATTTAGACTTACAACAAGGCCACTCCTGGTGTCTCAAAATGGCCAGGAATCTCCTGGGAGGCCAGGCGGTCAGAGGCTGGGAACTGGCCATGTTCCTTCCCACATTCTCTCCTCCTGCCCCTCTAGGGCTGGGCCCAGGAGACCAGGTTACAGACAGCCACAGTGACAGCACATAATCTATCCCAAATCTCTCGACAGTATTGGACCCATTTAAAAGAGTGGAAAACGAAAGGCCAGGGAATGGAAGAGCAACACCAAGACTTGCTCCCTGCCTGACCTATGACAGTATAGTGATGTCTCTCTCTCCTAGGACTTAGTCCTGGGCTCACCAATGATGCCCTGAGTGACTCTGGGCATAGGGTCCCACCCCCGGGCCCAAGGGGTTCATCTAGGATATGGCACATGGCCTTCTTCCCAGGGGAGCTGGTGGAGGTCAGTGCAGTGTGAGGGTGTAAGGAAGATTTACTCAGGCTAAGGACTCACCTGTCAGCTGGGCCACCAGGCCGCACATAAGTCAGGACGAGGGGGCGGGACTTGTGTCCATCTTCATGGGCACCTCCTAAACAGAATTCAACCAGAGATAGGAGTCATCTACCCCATTCCCTCCCCAGTGCTAGAAGGCCCTGACCCATATCCTGAGTGGCACATCCAATAAAGCCTACATCTGGGCCTTGTCTTTGCTGTCATGTGACTCTGAGACACCAATTGTAAACTGGGACTGGGGAAGGGGGTGTGGCACATACCCCAAGTCCTCTCTACTAAATGGCTTACTTCCAGTCCTTTGATTTCATCTTATTTCCCTTTTTACCCTGGCCACTAGGCAGCTCCAAATTTGGTTCTCTGTTTTTCAGTAGTAGCATTCACCATTATTTTCTGGTACAACTATCTCCCCTAACTGCCCACTCCACCCTCCCCCTCCACACTTCATTACTTGGCATACGCTTCTATCAACATTTGATTTAATGTTCCGAGGTTCTCTAAAGTCAAAAGCAAAATATAAATATACATTAATTGTTTCTTGTTGTTGCTAAGTGCCGACGAGTCGATTCTGAACCATAGTGACCCTGTATAGGGTTTTCCAAGGAGTAGCTGGTGAGCTTGAACCACCGACCTTGTGGTTCAAAAGACTTTGCAGTCTGACGCATTAGCCCACGGTGCCACACCAGGATTCCATTAATTAAGACAAAACAAAGGGAATTCATATTAGTCTCCCTTCCTGCTCCCTGTTCCTAAAGGTGACTCTTACACTGACCTCTGAGGACAAAGCCAAAGCTACTGCCTTCCTTGTAGAGGGAGACATCCACTGTCTTTGAAATGGTTCCTGGGTTGTTCTCTGAAGCTGAGGAGAAAAGGAGGACTCCTTCAGTCCCTAAGTCACTTATCTAAGCCAGCAGATATCCCAAAAACCCATTCCAGAAAACTGAGGGGCCAGAGATTACATGGAAGGGAAACCCTGTCTCATCTGATAGAGAGGAAAAGTGAGGCTTAGAGGGGCCTTCTTCCTACACTCACTTCATCCACAACTTAGAGCTAACGGCAGAACTCTGGCTCGAGTCCATGGCTAATTTAGGCTCAGATCAGTGTTTCAGCTGAGGCAGATGACTTAAATGCTAAAAAATGTCAAGGTCAGAGTCAGGCCCTGGTTCTCAGAGCAGGGCAGTGGAGTGGGGACCAGTACGGCAGGGGCAATTGATTCAACCACAGTCCTTCCTACCCCCTACCAAAGTAAAAGTGTCTGGAAATGAACTATAAAAATGGCAGTGGTTATAAACAAGGTCCTGGCCATCTTGGTGACAGTTTGCCACAGGTGCAGGCAAAGACCCTAGGAGAGCATGGGATCTGTGGCCAGTCTCCTCACCCATCGGTCCCACCTGGCATCCCCACCCTCACCCAGGCCCTGGCAGGGAGGCAGTGGAGAGTGTCCCGTCCAAGAGAACCCACCAGGTGGGGGCAGCTCATACTCCACCTCCAGCACCACGCGCTCGCCCACATTCTTGAGCACGGTGATGATCTCATCATGGCGAAGCCTGGTCAGGTGGATCCCATTCACTGACCGGATGTAGTCCCCAACGTTCAGCAGGTCACTCCTGGGAGCGAGGATGGCAAGGCACACACAAAGGGACTCTAGATGCCCACAACCACACCTACCTCCTATTGATTAATCCTTAGGACTTTTGGATCCCATTTTACAGATGGGGAAGCTGAGGCTCAGAGTGCATTCTTTCTGAGACTATGGTATTGGATGAACCCACAGAGTAGGCAGATCACTCCCTCCTTTGCTCTTCCCTAAAGCTCTTCTCAGCTTTCACCACTATCTTCCATTCCGTTCAAGCAGACATTGATCAGGTCCCATGCTGCCAGGTGCCCGTGGAAGCCACAGTCAAGAAACTCACTCCAAGAACCTGAAAAGTTCACAGTCTACGGAAGTGGGAGTGGGAAACTGACTGTGCACACAGGGCAGCCCAAGCAGAACAGAGCCCTGGCCTGGGGTCAGGAAAGGCTGCTCAGAAGTGGTGGCTAGGGGTGGAGCATGGAGGGATAAAGAGGAGTTTGCCAGCAAGGTACTGTAGGGGACAGGCATCCCAGGCAGCAGGAACTGCATATGCAAAGGGCTGGAGGGCACTATACAGCCTGAAGAGTCTGGGGCACCATGGCTGGGCCGGGGCCATGGAAGAGAAGAGGTTGGGGAGGTCAGAGTTATAGCCTCCATGGCAGGACACCAAGCTTCTGAGGGCTCTTGGAAACTCACCTGGCTGCGAGACCCCCAGGTCTCAGGTTGGAGACCCTGGGCTTCCCATCCTTGTCAGTGCCCCCTGAGATGGTCAGGCCCAGTGTGCTGCCTTCTTTCTTGATCAGTTCCACCACGGTGACCCCTCGGAACTCCTCTGCCGATTGATAAGGGGGCTGAGCAAACAGCATAGGGCACTCTGGGCTCACACTTGGTAAGCAGAGTGCCTTACTGCATCACCTCCTTTCTACAGATGGGGTCAGAGAGGTGAAGTGACTTGTCCAAGGTCACAGTGTGATCTAGCAGCAGAGTTAGCACCGACCCAACCAGTGCTCTCTGCCACTCTAGGGCAGAGGAAGAAGGAAGGAGTGTCTCCTTACCTGGAATGCTCTCTCTGCGGCACACCAGGGCCATGTCAGGCCCACCCATGTCTTTTCCTCCTTTGCAGTATGGCCCATCATCTACAGAAGAGAAAGGACAAAGAGCTTCTGAAATCAGCTTTCATGTTCATCCAGGCAAATCTCTTCAGTTTAGGGAATCTCTCCACTTTTGTGGATGCGGTCTGTCAAAGGGATCCCTTCCTGCCCCGGCTCCACCTGATTCTCTGCTGGGGCAGGGCAGGCGGTGGGAAGGATCCTTGCGGCTTCTTCTCCCAAGTAAGCCTTGGTCAATTCTCTTGAGCTGAATAAGCATTCTTTTTAGCACCTTCTAGGTGCTGGGAGCTTCACAGTCATTCTGGGGTTAACCATTATGAGGTCTCCATGGGTGACATTGTGGTTGGAGGTAGTTGTATTCCCCTGTCCATATAAGCAAGATCACCCATGGTGAACAGGTTTCAGCAGAGCTTCCAGACTAAGATAGACTAGGAAAGAGGCGAGGCAGACGACGTCTTAATGGTTAGCCACAAAAAGCAGCAGACTACTGTCAAATAGAGTGCTGGAAGTTGAGGCCCTCAGGTTGGAAGGCACTCAAAATATGACTGCGGAGGACCTGCCTCCTCAAAGTACAGCTGACTATAATGAGGTGAATGGAGCAAAGCTTTTGGAACCTTCATTTGCTGATGGACACAATTCAAAATGAGAAGAAATAGCTACAAACGGAAAATGGAAAGTTATCAAAAATTTAATATAATGAAGATAAAGACTGATATGCTAGGCATTAGTGTGCTGCAATGGACTGGTAGGCCATTTTAAATCAGACAGTCACATGGTTTACTATGCTGGGAAAAAACAAATCAAAGAGGAACAATGTAACATTCATTGTCAAAAAGAACATATCCAGATCTGTCCTGAAGTACAATGCTACTACTGTCTGATAGGACCATATCTATATGTCTACAAGGAAGCCCAGTTAATACCACTATCATTCAAGTTTATGCACCAATCACTAAAGCCAGTGATGATGAAACAGAAGAATTCGACCAACTTCTTTACTCTGAAATTGATCAAACATGCAATCAAGATTCATTGATCATTGGTGACTGAAATGCAGAATTTGGAAAGAAAGAGGAAGGATCAGTAGTTGGAAAACATGGTCTTGGTATTATAAATGAGGCTGGAGATTACATGATAGAATTTTGCAAAGCCAACAACTTACCTTTTTAAACAACATAAAAGACAAGTATACACATGAACCTCAATAGATGGAAAACACAGGAATCAAACGACTAGATTTGTGGGAAGAGACAGCCGAAACAAGATCAGGAACCGACTGTGGAACATCAATTGCTCATATGCAAGTTCAGGCTAAAACTGAAAAAAAAAAATAAAACAAATTCACAAGATCCAAAGTATGACCTCAAATATAGCCCACCTTAGTTTAGAGACCAACTCAAGAAAAGATTTGATTTATCAGCCACTAAATGAGTCCTGGTGTGGCGCTGTGGGTTAATGCACCAGACTGCAAACCCATTTGAACTGCAAGGTTGGTGGTTCAAGCTCACCAGCTGATCCTCAGAAACCCTATACAGGGTCACTATGGGTCAGAATCAACTTGATGGCACTTAACAACAACAACAACAATGACAGACAGGAGTCCTGGTGTGATGCTGTGGGTTAATGCACCAGACTGCAAAGCAGTTTGAACTGCAAGGTCAGCAGTTCAAGCTCAGCAGCTGCTCCTCAGAAACCCTATACAGGGTCACTATGGGTCAGAATCGACTCAGCGGCAGTTAACAACAATGACAGAAAACCAGAAGTGTTATGGGATGGCATAAAGAACGTTGTAGAAAAGGTCATAGAGAAGACACACACAAAAAAGAAAGAAAGACAAAACCAAAATGGATGTTAGAAGAGAATGGAACTTGCTCTTCAGCATAGGGAAACTAAAGTAAATGGAAGAAATGAGGAAGTAAAAGAACTGAACAGACAATTTCAAAGGGCAGCTCAAGAAAACAAAGTCAAGTATTATAATGAATTTGTGCAAAGACCTGGAGTTATAGAACAAAATGGGGAGAACACGCTCAGCATTTCTGAATTTGAAAGAACTGAAGAAAATATTCAAGCCTCAACTGACAAAATTGAAGAACTCTATGAGCAAAATATTGAATGGTGCAGAGCACATCAAAAACTGTATCAAAAAGATATGGTCTATATTCAGCCATTTTAAAAGGTAGCATATGATCAAGAACCAATGGTAGTGAAGAAAGAAGTCCAAGTTGCACTGAAGGCATTAGCAAAGAACAAGGCACCTGGAATTGATGGAATATAAATTGAAATCTTTCAACAAACTGATACAATACTGGAGGCACTCACTCATCTATGCCAAAATTTTTGGAAGATATCTACCTAGCCAAGCAATTGGAAGAGATCCATATTTGTGCCCATCCCAAA